CCCATTCCCGTGCACGGAGAGCCGCCACGGGGGAACGGCCTCCCGGCAGTGCACAGGACGCCCATATCCCCGGCGAGCGGGGCCCGGTAGGCGGGAAGGGCCTGTGTCCCTCCCCCCGGTGCCGGCGCTCACCTCCCGGCCGGTGCCGCGGTGCCGGTCCGCCGCAGTGGAGGGGCGGGAGCGGGAGCGCCGCGCGCCGCCGCGGGGCCCTTTTATCGCCGCCCCGCCCGGGCGGTGAAGGTCGGTCAGGACCGGGGAACTGTCCGGCCAACGCCGATTGGCCGCCGCCCCGGCGCCCCGGCCGCCCATTGGCTGCGCCGGGAGGATGGGGCCCGGCGCCGGCGCGTGCGTCACGGGAGGCAAAGTTCCAAGAAACTTGGCTGAGGGCTCGGAGTCCCGCGGGGGCGGGGCGGGAATGCCGCGGGGCGGGGGCCGGGCCCAGCGGGGCCCCGGGGCGTGGGGAGCGGGGCTTGCGGCAGCAGGAGGTCACGGGGACATGGGGTTCCTGAGTGTGGGGGTGCGGGATTCCCGGGGGTATGAGGTCCCGGGGATACGGGGTCCCAGCAGCGCGGGGATCTCGGGTCCCAGAGGTGTGGAGTCCAGGTACATGGCGTCCCGGGGTGTGGGGCCCTAGGGCTAAGGGGTGCAGAGCGCGCAGAGCCCCGGGGGCATGGGGCCGTGAGTCTGGGCGATCCGGGCACAGCAGAGCCTGCACACACGGGTCAAGGGCACAGCGTGTCTGGGCACAGCGGGCCCGTGCCCAGCGGCTGTGGGACACCCGGCCTCCGGAGCATCAGACCTGCAGTGCCCGGGCACACGTGTGCCGGGCGGGCGGTGTCACACCCCCGTGCCCGGCCTGTGCCCGATCTTGGCCCCTGTGGGTGGCTCGGGCTGCGGCTTGGCACTGCCCTTCGGCCAGCGCACGTGTGTGCACATGTGCTTGTTGCTAAACTTGTGTCTCTGGGACGTCTCCAGAGAGTGACATTTGCCTGCAGCCGTTCCCTCTGACAGGCACCTGTCAGAGCGAGGGGATGGAGATGGATGGGGTGAGCCCAGCGCTGCACCAGGGGCTCCCCTCGGGCACCTGCAGTCCCTTGGCCCTAAAATGCATGTGTACAGTCACACACTGGGAAAGCAAGTGCTGGCGTTACTGGGATCTGCCCTCTCATAAGGGCTCCTTACTGATAACAAATACTGGGATCTGCTCCATCCTTGACCCCCTGAGACTATTTCCCTCTTCCTCTGTGTGTTTGGCCCCAGTGTCTCCCCCTGTTGCAGCCACTGTCCTCTCAATCAGGAAGATCAGACTCTGGCATCTGCAGGTGGGCAATGCCACTTGCTGATGGGTTCACAGGCCACAGCTCTGATTTCTCTGTCCTTGGAGTTGTCCCGCTGCTGCTGTTTGCTGCTGGAATGGAGACACTTGTGCACACTGAGGGGGATCACCAGACAGGGGCTGAAGTGCTTTGCTTCCCTGCAGCTCTCTCTGTGAAGCTGCTCAGGGAGGCAGAAGGGAGACCACATCACGCTACCAACTGTCCTGGTGACCACGATGAGTAAGAAGCTGGCGAGGAACAGCCATCCCCTTTGTTGTGCCTCTTCTGAACCACCATTCAGCCAGGGAAACAATGCCTAAACTGTGCTTCCTTTGCTTTGTAATTTTTTCCCTGCCAAGCAATGCTCACAGCAAACCCTGTGTGAGGGGGTGCAGGCAGGTGGGGGAGCTGGGCACGATACTGTCACACTTAAAAACTCTTGCTGACCACATCTGAGGGAAGAGAATAGAAGAAGGATAACATCCACTGATCTGCTTTGCTGGAGAGAATTACGTCCAGCGTTTGTCAGCACAATTCGTCATCGGAGGATCCCTGCGGATCCACCACGGCTCCTGGCGTCTTGGACGTCGGCCACGGCACAGAAAATCCTCTTTCACTGCTTGTTTCCGATTCCATGTGAAAACCCATTAAAGGCAGCCGCTTCACCGCTCCCTGCTACCACCAGGGCACTGACCTGTCAGTCACGTCCTATCACGGCAGCCATGGGATAATTTGTACCAAAGTGCAGGACCCAAAGAAATGGTTTCAAAATAGCTGCTTCTACAGCCCTTCCTTTCTGTCTGCCCGTGCCTTGCTGCCCATTGCTGATGGCAGTGGTACCCACCACATCTCTGTGTGCCTCCTGCTCTGGGGAATACCCTGATGGGAATCCCAAATCCTCTTCTAGCTGTTGCTAGGACATTGCCTTCGATTTGGATGTCCAGTGGGGTGATGTCAGGTTGCCCAGCCACTTCTACTCATCCTGCACATATGCCTGGGCAAGCCAAGTGGTGTCAGGGCCCAAAGGCAAGGCATTAGCACAGTTGCAAAGACAAACTGGCTTTTTCATAGGAATTTAATGTCTTTGGTGTAGGAGTGGGACCATTATTCACAGGCCAAGCTCTCCTACAGAGGTGGTGGGAATGGTTACAACCATAGTGTGCTTTGGCCCCAGCAATGGCTTAAAAATAGGCCAGAGCATGCCAAGTCCTTTCAGCCTCACAGCTGGTGGGTAACCCTTTGCAAATTGTATTTGTCACATACATTTGAAGTGGGAGCCTGCCTGTAGCAAAGGCAGCCTGTCTGTGGGCTGCACTGGATTACATTTGACCCCAAATTTGTTTATAGGGTGCAGTGCTCAGCTCTAGTGATGTAACAGGACAGCCCAGAAAAGTTTTACTTTTCCGATATGTATATTTTTTTGCACAGACCCGTGAACATGATTTGCTTGTTTGCAGTCCAGCCTGGTTTTAATCACTTTGAATTAAGTAGCTGATCTTATTACCAATCTGACTATGAGAGGGCTTATCACAGGTTCCTTGGCACATGACAGAGATTACTCTATTTGTGCAGCCACATCCAAGTAACGTGACGTATTCTCTCAGAGCTATTTTCATCTTCACCCTCCTCTGGGATCTTGATCCTTTGGTTTCTCCAGCCAGTGACCAACTAAAACCTTCTTAATACTACGGAAACCCCAACTACGTAATTGGGCGAAGGGAAAAGCTCTGCCATTTCTTGTGGCAGACGTCATTTGCTTCCTAAGGCTTTCATTAAATTGAGGGCAGGATAATTTTGTCTTAATGGACCTGTGTGTGTAATTAAAAGCAAAATAAAAATAGGCACTATGAAGGAGTACACTGAACATAGTCTAGTGCTGGGTTTGAGCATGAGATTGAAGATGGGCAAAGAGTACATCCCTCATTCTTGAACAGAGATAAAGGATACAGGGTTTACTCCAGTCCTTGTAAAGAATTCGTGCATGGGTTTAACTCTGAACACTTACCAGTCTCCTCTGGAGAAAGGCAGGCTCAGGACCAAAGGTCAGCAGAGTTTGGACAACAGCTCCAGATCCCTGGTGGGCTGGAGCAGCACAGCTGCCACTTCACTTTTAGCCTCTGGGATCTTCATCAACAAGTCAGAGAGAAATGCCTAATGTCCTGTTTAGCTAAAACTGCACAACTTCAGAGTGCAGTGAGGAATGAGGAGAGTCAGGGCTGTTGTGGTAGGGGTGCTGGGCTGGAATAGACACAGTGTATGTCCCCCTCTCACCACAGGTACATCACTGACCTTCAGGTTAATCTCTCTGCCAGCAGCATCCCACCTGCACACGGGGTGCAGTAACGCTGCCTCGACCATCCTGTTTCACTGGTGAGTTCTTTAGGTCAGGGATAATATGCGAGTATATTGTTCTGGTCCTTGGGGGTGTGGGCTTGGCGTGGGGAACCCTCTGCTCTGCTGTGTTAGACACGGGACAGAGACTGGTCATCCTGTGCAGAGACACGGTGGCAGAGCTGCTGGCAGTCACTAGATAGGATTTGCTCTCCTCTGGTGAGGACATGCCATGTGAGGAGGCGGATGGCAGCCCCAGGCACGCTGTTCAGCTCTGATGAATAATAGCTGTTGCTGACACCTCGTGGAAGCCTCACACAAACATTTTCTCAGAAACCTTTCAGTTTCATTTCTTCTGCTGCTGGTTCCCCGATGAGCTTGTCCTTTGTTTCTGTCATCTCAGGGCCCTTGGCTGCCTGCAGCACCAGGGATGGGAAGGCAGCAAGGGAAGCTGCCTGGGGCTGCCTGATAAGGAGGAGTGCACATCTTCCAGCATGGTGGTGAGTGAGGGCTGTTCACCATGCATGGCTGTTGCACATCAGATGCAGAGATGAGGGCACCTCCCTCTGGGTCTGTGACACCTGGGTCATTTGGCCTTTTGTGTGTCTATTTGCCCATCTCCATTTTTTAGGGGAGCATTTTCACAAGTAGCTGTCCTTTCATTTCAGAATATCAAATCAGTTTGGAAAAGATACAGAAGTTTTCCTGGAAAGTGCAAAAAATATTTTCATTTGATAAACAGGACAGCTGATTAGAGAGTCAGCAATGATCTGGGTTGGGGCAATGCTCCTGACTCCCTTGCTGGAGTCATCAGACAACATTGCCCTCTCCAGGGGAGAAGTCATGGCCTTGAACTATGCCCTGTTCTCATGACTCACCATTGCACTGTCTTGCATCCACATCTTCTTCCTCCTCAGTCTTCATTTGTATTACAGTCAGTCTCTGCTTGCTTGACTTTGTGTGAATCACCATTTCACACTGAGCCAGAGCTACCCATAACCTTGGCTGCTCTGCTTTCTCTGCTGTGTTATAGGGTCAGCTCCATCCTGATCCATGGCATGAAAGAAAAATCTGCTTTGGAAACAACAAAGGGAGCAAGTCTTCTCTTGTTATTCTTGTTTCGTTGCTGAGCAAATTCCAAAAACCTGCATCCAAAATGGTTCTTGGTGGAGTAGGTTGCCCAGAGACCTTGAGGGGTCTCCTTCCCTGAAGATATTAAAAAGCTGCTGGACACAATCCAGATTAATGTGCTCCCAGGGACTCTGCTTGAGCAGGGGGGTTGGACTAGATGGCCTCCAGTGGTCCCTTCCAACCTTACCCGTTTTTGATTCTCAAGAGCCAAGTGAAGCTCTAATACATTTTGTTTTGGAAAAGAAATCTCTCCAACAGCTCTGTAGGAAGTATATAAGGGTGACTGCTGTCAGACATCAGGTGATGAGAGGCTGAATAAATGTCTCAGCTGGTGTCACGGATTTTTTCATGTTGCCCACCAGTGAGATTACCCAATTTTTAAGGCTTTGAAACTTATTTTTTATTCTGGTTCTTTGATAAAGTGGGCTGGCAGAGTGAGGTGGGTAGAAAGGTGATGAGCTCCTTCTGCTGCAGGTGTTTTGCAGGCCCTCAGGGATGCTCACAGGCTGTCATCAGTGTTTCTTCACCTTGGTTGAGTTCACAGCCCACATCTCATTAAGCCTTGATTTTAGCACCTGTAATAAAAGAGCCACATTCATCCTTTTGGAAATTTAGGGAAATTCCCAGAACTACAGCAGAGATTAAATTTCATCCAGCATATTACAGAGGGAAGCTGAAAAATGTGCTTGGCCTTTAAAAGTCTACAGAGCACCTTTTGGGGAACCTTTCTGTTTTGTAAGCAAGTGGTCAAGAGGGGTCAGAGAGCTCCTGGTGCCTGTGGACGATTTTGGCCTTCAGCTTGATGTTGGTTGTTAAAAATATTTTCCCAGATGTATTAATATGACCAGACTGGATTGCATCTGAGCTGAACATTGTGAGCCTGAGGCAGGACATAAATATAGAAGCAAAACAGGCTGACATAAGAGTCATCTGTCCTCTTCTACACAAGAAGTGAAGGGGAAAGAGAGGGAACTTATTCTGTTGCAATTTTTAGATACTTCCAGGAATTAGCCTGAGCCTCAGCGAGTGCCTGCATGGGGTCCTGAGGCACAGAAGCCCCCACGTATCCCTCTCTCAGCCCCTGGTGTGCTGTGCCAGAGGACTGCACACTCAGCACATTTTTAACCCAGACTTAGATCTGCCTAGACAAGGCCTGCAATCAGGAGTGACTATTTGTTTGATGTGTTTGCCTAACAGGATTACCCTTATCATAGTGATATAGCAACCTGGCCTTGGCAGAGCAACCCTCAAGGGCACAAGGGGTCATACCCTTGTGTCCATTGCCCCAAATATGCTCAGCATAGCTTGTCTCTTATGGTGCAATATCGAGCCATGCTTCAGTTGGCATTCAGTGCTGTGCTTTGGGAAAGAGCAATTGTGCCAGGTACTGCTGCCTGCTGACATCACACTTGGCATTTCTCTCCCCACCTAAAAAAAAAAAATCAATAATATTCAAAAGTTAGAAAAATGATGCAGTGTTTTATAATTAGAGAATAGGATGGCTTCCCCAGTGGGAATTGCCCTGAGCAAATGCCTGATTTAATTCCATGTGAATTTGTTGCCCTGGCTCCCTAAGAACCAATGAATTGCCTGCCTTTTGTATTGTATATCATGAACATGCCTTAAAACCCTTACAAAATCATCTGTTTGTCTATAAAAGTATATCTGTGATTATTAAATTTTGCTACTTAAAACATTCAAGGAAGGTTCAGGATGAAAGCTCAGTTTTCCTATAGATAAGTAGGATAAAGGTTTTGCTAAACAGAGCCTGGCCCCATAGGGGATCGGTACTCAGACTTATTCACTGCAGTTTCTGGCCAGGCTGGGGACACCTCCTTGTTCCCTGTTGGTGTCATTTTGACCCCAGCTCTTTTCAGGCTGGTGGATGTGAGCCTGTCCTCACCAGCTCCCGGGCTATTTGTGGAAGCAGAACCTCTTGCTCGTTATGTGCCACTTCCAAAACAAGCAGGATCCTCTGTTTATAATGTGCTATAATTGGCCTGAATGAAACCTGTGGTTCAGGCTGTAGGGCCCAGGACTGCTGATGCAGCAGCACCCTAATTCCAAGCAATGCTCCTGGGAATGCCAAAATGGCTTTGCATAAAGCTGAGGGATGTGTAGGTACGTAGTGTTAGCAGTATGTTCACAAGCTCCTGTTTCTGGAGCAGGCTGTACTTGTCAGGGCTCTATGAGGTTTGGAGGAATGGAGCCTCCTTGGAGCAAAGCAGAGATAGCCTCTTTTTGCAGCAGCTTCACTGTGTAGATGCTTAGGTTGCCATGGGGAGCATTACCCTAACCATCCTTTTTTTTTTTCCCCCAAGGCATTTGTAGCTGGCATGTGAGTAGAGCTCTGTGACTCAGAAATTACCAGTCCAACCATTGGGCCTAAATGGTTTGAGTTCACCTGTGATTAGGGTATATTTAATTTTGGTGGCATGTGTGGCTGTTCAGACCCTGCTGTTCAGCATGGAACTTTTCTGACCTTGTAGCTCATTGCAGGACAAACTCCTGTCTAAGATAAAGCAAAGCATCCCCCTCACTTTTGTTTAGAGGCTGGTACATACAGTATAATGTTCACCCAAAAGTTGCATTTGATCTGGCTTTGCTGTAAGAAACCCCTCTGCTATTTCAGCTCTAAAACACAATAGATACATGGCCAAGCAGAAAGATTAAAAAAAGAACTGGCTAATGCGTTGCGTGTCTTAGAGGACTTATTTTTATTCCCATTTGTTCATTCTCTCTGCTCTTGGCTGCTGCTGGGTCTGTTGAAATAACAAGCAGGGATGAAGAAAGAGGGCAGCTCTGTCGTGAGCTTCCTTCAGAGGGAAGCGGCCGCGGTGCAGCGTTAACTCCGCCGGCGACTGCAGCCTCCGCAGCTCTGCCGCCAGCAGCCCAACGGGAAACCCCTCCTGCTCTTCTGACAAAAGATGGGATTATCACTCAAAAGCCTTTCCGCTGCAGAGTGGTGTTTAGAAAGAGTCTGTCTTTTGCTTTGTAAAAAAGTGGTCAGAAGTCTTCTAGTGCTGCATGCAGCTGCTCTGCTGCCAAGAAAACCTCCCGGGCCTGGATGAGGCCTCTGAAATATTTCCGGTTTCTCTGTAATTACTTTCTAATTAAATTTTCAAATCCAAGTACAATCAGGAGGTTAAACCATAGAGAGTTCATAGTAGGGTCCTTCAATTTGCTTTTTCTAAGTCAGTAGCTATCCCCTATGTAGAGGTGATAGATAATTTTGTGAATATAAAGGTGCTTAAAATCAGGGTAGCAATGCCTTTTACCCAATGGATTTAGCACTAGCATAATTTCATGCACTCTCCTTTTGGAAGCACTGCTTTTGCATAGAAATTGTTGTAACTGCCTGATCAGATTTGTCCATTAGTATGTCTGCTCATGGCTTATTAAGTAGCTGGGGCACTAGGGTCCAAGCTTCCTTTGCTAGGATTTTCCTCTACTCCTCCACATGCAGTTCAGGGAAATGGGAGGACTGTTGTTTCCAAAGTGTTGCAAGGGTTTTATGATGCCTCCACTGCAGAAAACAGAAATAAAAAAAGGTCTAAAAAGATGGTGTAAAGTAATTGAGAGATGGGATACATGACAAAAATGTGTAAATAGGGAAGCTGAGAAACAACTGAACTCAGCTGCTAAGCACTGCACAAAGGTCAGCTTGCTCCCTGCACCACCTGCAGGGGCCCCACTGGTCTCCTCCCCTTTGGCTCTGCTCCCTGGACCTCTCCTATAGCCCTGCTTGGATACTGGGACCAGGACAGGCTGACAGGGCTCACCATTGCAGGGCTGCCCACAGCAGAGCAGCCACTGCTGAGTCAGAGTGTCTGGAGCACATGCAGGGGTTTTTACTGCAGAAAGGTGTGAAGACAAAGGTGTTGGACTCCCTCAGACTTTTTTACAGAGCCCATCCTGGTCACCCATCCCATCTGTGTCCCCCACACTTGCCAACACAGTCTGTCACCAAGGGGGGCTGTTGTGTGGCTCTTGGGAGTGCTGCTGTTCAGCAGCTCACTCGAGCTGGGTACAGCATCACCTGCTGAAGCACCCAGCAGTGCCAGTGGGAATTACAGTCATGCTGAGAAGCTTTTTAGCAGACAGACAGACAGAATTACTCAGACTCACCTCTTCACATCTCTGTTTTGATGCTGTCAACCTCTAGCCCCACTCTCCTGCCCCCCAACTGGAGATGGCAGAATAAGAAGTGCCTGTGTCCTGGTTTACAGCCAGGTGTTTCAGCTTAAACCACTGAAGAAAGTGGGTCTGGGATAATATCCCAGTGTGATAAAGGGAGGTAAGTCTTGGAGTAAGGTCTGTGCTTGGGAGAGGTAATACTGTGGGATTGGGTTTTTTAAATGATGTCAGCATTTGAGATCCCTTAGACTTGTGTTTTGGTTAATCCCACAAGAAAATAAGAGTTCATTTGAGTTTACCCTGGAAACCCAGCTGCTGTCTCTGAGGCACAAATGCTCCTGGAGACAGCCTGCTCTTGCAATTCATGTATTCTGTGAAGCAGAAAGAAAAACATATTGGCCAGGGTTCAAGCACCTTTCTTGGTTGTCTTGGTGATAAGTGCCTGATGAAAGTTCAAGGTCTCTGCTTGCTTGTGTAGAATAAAAGCAGCTTTGCTTAAGTTACTGCTGGCATCCATGGTCTTCCAGAGGGTGCTGATCTGTTGTTCCCAGTGTCTGGGCTGTTCTTGGTGAGACAATGTTGTGTCATGTGAGTTGTAGTTTGTCCTGTGTCAGAGGTGACCTTTCAGTCTGTGGCCTGCAGCAGTGGCTGTGTCATGGCAAACATTTGCAGTAAGCTGGATGCTCCCTCTGAGGGGCTGGGGCCTTGTGGAAGGAGTATGGGGTGGTGGCACAAGCCCACTGCAGTTGGCAGCCTGCTGCAATGGTCCCTGGAAGCAAGCCAAAGGTAGCTGCTGTGTCACCACAATCTTTAGGTTTCAGAGTTGACAACATGAGGAGATATAAAGGCAAGGGGAGCCTCCTTGGTGCTGCTACTTCCAGTGTTTTGTTGTCTGGGGGAAAAGGGACTGCTTCTCTGATGTTGGTTTGTGCTCTGAGAGACTCAAGGGTGTTTGAGGGCAGGTTTTTTTAGCAGAAGTGTGAGGATGGTGGTGGGGGAGAGGTGAGGCAAGGTCAGAGCAGTGGGATGTGACATTCAGGTTTTCTCTCAGGGCTCCGGGGGGCTGAAACAGATGTCAGAAGCTGAACTCCTTGAGTCACCTGCAGTGGTGAGGATGGAGCTGCATTCACTCTGCTGCCTTCAGCACTGCTCTCATGGGGCTTCCCCAGCTCCATCTGCCTGACACCATGGGCAGCATCCCAAAGCTGGAACCTCAACTGCCTTTGTTTCTGTACAGGCCAGTTAGTCATTTCCCACTTATAAACAAACATTTTGGAGACACCAGAGAAACTGAGCCACCAAGAGGACGAAGTTCTGTTGTTTTTAAAGTAGCTCATTCACCAGTGAGTTTTACTGCACAGGAGCTCAGCCACCGCTGAGCTGAAACATACAGGGAACAGGAAAATGTGCTACTGGAGCAGGCCAGTCATCAAGTTGA